TGAAGCTTCCATGGCTTCTGTGATTTCAAACACATCAGCTGATGGTAGTTCCTTATGTTGGGATCAGTGTCTCTGAAGTTTAGTCGTAATGTTTCCCGGTCAAAGGTGATGCATCCTGTAGAATTGGTGTGTAGACAGGCTTTTCTTGGCCAGAGGGCCGCAGGCCCGAGGGCCGGAATGGATGTCGCAGGCTTTTGGCGTCTTCGATTACCTGAGAAAATGGGATGGGTCTGCGGGGTCTGATAGCTGTCCTGTCAAACCCCACAGACCCATCCCATTTTCTCAGGTAATCGAAGACGCCAAAAGCCCGCGACATCCTTTCCGGCAGAAAGGTCAGAGGAGAGGCTATGAACTTAGAGAAATTACAATAGTTATAGCATAGGGTCCATGTCTTTTGCGCATAGTGTTGCTATGGGTCATGCTCAACTCAGTGGCACCTAACAACCACAACAACATTCCTTGGAAAAGGAACATCATGCTTGGAAAAGTAGATGGTAAGCAAAAGAGAGGAAGATCCTCAACCAAATGCATTGACACAGTTGCAGTAATGGGCTCAAATTTGTCAAAGATGATGAGAACTGCACAGGATAGGAGAAGGTTCAGATCTGTTCACAGGGTCACTATCAGTTATAGTGAACTGCAGAAAAACATCCATTAATGGTATAATGATAGAACTACCAGAAATTCAAGCTCAGTTTAGAAGAGGCTATGGACCTAGGCATATCATTGCTAATGTTAGATGATCCTGGCTGAAAGTAGAGAATTGTTGTACTGCTGAGTTGGAACCGACTCATAGCTGACCCTCCTGTGGCTTTTTAGAGGCAGTTAGTCTCATGGAAGGAGATTGCTCATCCTTCTCCCAAGGAGCAGCTGGTGGCCTCCAACAGCGTGTCTTTGGGCTTGCATAGCAGCTTATGGTTTAACTATGCAAAGGCATTTGACTTATACAGATCATAACAAAGTATGATTAACATTGAAAAGATTGGGAGTCCCAGAACACTTAATTATGCTTGTATGAAACCTATACCTAGATCAAGAAGCTGCTGTCAAAACCAAGGGAACACTGCAAGGTTTAAAATCAGGAGAGATGTGCATCAGAGTTGTATTCTTTCTCAATACCTATTCAATCTGTATGCTGAGCAAGTCATTCTAGAAGTTGGACTCTATGAGTGACATCTGGACGGCAGGAAGGCTCACCAACAACCTGTGTTATACAGATGACATAACCTTACTTTTTGAAAGTGAAGACTTTAAATCCTTGCTGCAGAAGATAAAAAGACTGATACAATAGCCAGAGTGCTCCTTGGAAACCAGAGTAAAGCCTACTCCACATTCTTTGGACATGTTGCTAAGAGAGGGTATTTATTGGAAAGAACGAGAGAAAGACCTTCAACCAGACAGACTGACACAGTGACTACAGTAGGCCTAAGTGTGTCAGAGATGATGAGGCTGGCACAGGATAAGTCAGGATTCAGATTTGTCGTTCAAGGGTCGCTATGAGTTATACTGTACTCGATGGCACCTAACAGCATAAATAGCAGTCAAATCAAAGGCAGCTAACACAGTCTAAGAGAACTAAAAAGCAATCCAACTTCCTTCCATATGATTCATAACGACCCCACAGAACAAAGTAGAGCCTGCCCCATAGAGTCTCCAAGATATAAAACCTTATTGACACTAACTGCCTCTTCACTGGGTGGACTAGTTAATGAGTTAAATGCTGAGTCAGAACATCAGCAGTTAATGTAAACGCGCGTGGTAAGAGTCCACACGGGTTATAATGGATGAGAAATTCCTGTTCAGGATCTCCGTGGAGGTCAAAATAAGGGTTGTCAATATTGGCGGCACAAAAGAACACTGTTAATGAGCTCTGGTAACCTAGCGGTAAGGAGTTGCGCAGCCAACGCAAAGGTAAGAGGTTCGAGTCCACTTGCTACTGTGAGGGTGAAAGGTGGGCAGTCAATTTAATGAGATTTACCGCCTCCGCAGTACCGCTGGAAGGTGAGCTAAGCTGTCAGTTCAGAATCCATAGCACACAACAACTTACATTTCACAGCCAACACTCACTCCACTGTGCTCCTTAACCGGAGAAGTAACTTTTTTTTCCTTTTTGCTTTGTTTTATGCTAACTGAAACAGCGAGTTTCGCAATTATCCAACATGAAAACCGCCCCTCCTACCTCGGCCCGCACAGTGACGTCACACGGCGACAACCTAGTCCACCCTGAGAATGCCACTACATTTCCCAGAATGCCTTGCCGGCCTCGCGCCATTGGTCTGCGCCGACGGAAATATACCTGACTGGCGGAAGTCGGGGCTTTCAGAAGCCGGAAAGGAGAAGAACCTAGATATGTGAGTAGACGCTGAGATATGGTAGGTAGCTTTATGATGCAAATCCCTCAGGAGACGGTCTCCTGGGAAGCGAAGACTGGTCAAACTTCAGACCGCTGCGTCCTTCCAGTACATTTGGAAGCCGGGAAGGACAAGTACCGTTCAGTAGGCGAAGTCTCTATACAACAATCTGATTTAGTTTCTCTTGGGACGACCTAAAACTGTTTCTGATTTTGTCACTGCATGGGGGTCCTTGGTGCGATTTGTTGCGACCAGAGGGTTAGGGTGGGACTGCTGAAGTTCTGACTCAGCATTTATAGCAATGATTCTCAATTGATTGCTCGTTAAAATCACTAGAAAAGATTTTTTTGAAAAATCGACCTGTGCTAATTCTGAATTGTGAGAGATAGAGTTTGGGGTCTGTATTTAAGGAAACATCCCCAGTCTTCTTTTGTGCCGCTAATCTTGACAACAACTCTTTTTTTTTTTTCTTAATCCCTTATTCTGACCTCCACGGAGACCCATAATAGGCCACCACCTCTACCAGAATTTCTCATCCATTATAACTTGCGTGGACGCTTACCACACGTGTTTAGGTTAAGTTGATGGTGTTGGCAGATACTCCACCAAAAACATATTCCTGTTCTTAGCATAATGTTGGAAAGACAATTTGTAGATGCTCACAGTAAATAAAGATTAGGGCTGTTTCATTTTCATTGCCTTTGTTTTAACTTAATGCTTGTATTTTCTACCCTGACAAAAAATGCAGCAGTGAAACGTGAATAATCACATTGGTATCTTTTTTTTTTTTTTTTGCCTTTAAGTTCAGGTGCCAAATTTGCCTAGTAAATGACCATCAATTAAAATGGCATTTGACATTATATATAAACTTGTGATTTCCAGCACCACCCTTCCCCCAGTCCTGCAGGAATTAATTCCCAGAAGCTGCACAGCAATCCCAAAGGTACTTGGTTTGAGGCCACAGAAGAATGGGTAGGCTCCTCCCATGTGAAAACCATCCAGAGGGTCACCTATTGCTCAGTTCTGACTCTGTGGTACACAATAACTAATATGTAACATTTTCTCTTTCCAGAACTTCAGCTTCACCTCCCCCACTGACTCCATCATGGGGGAGAAATCAGAGAACTCCAAGGTGCCAGAAGATCTGATCAATGGATTGAAGATTACAGATCCCCAGGAATCAGAGTGTACCAGCCCTCTGGTTACTAATCACAAAGATGAGCATTCCCAGAGCGAATTGGTCAAGGAGGTTCCACCTCTTCCCCAGGAGGACCAGGGAGAAGACGAGTGCTTTCACGATTGCAGCGACTCATTTGAGAAGGAAGAGCAAGGAATAGATAAGGTTGGGGGCAACACTGAGGATGTGAATTCCTCTGAACTAGATGAAGAATACCTAATAGAACTGGAAAAGGATATGCCCAGTGAAGAGAAAGAGGTAAAGACTATGTTACTTAAACTGCTTTTTAAAGTGAATAAATAATGTCGTTAATATATCATAGACTATTTCATCTATAGTGATACTATAACAAATATAAGTGGATGGCATTAGCATGTTTATTCACTTAACAGTTTAGGAAGTTAAAAGTCCAAATTCAGGATACTTGAGGAAGTCTCTCATTCCGTGTCTTGGTTCTAAAGAAAGGCCCTTGTCTCTTTCACATTGTAAACCCAGCAGTCTGTGGGGATCACCATATTCTTGACCTTTCCCTATGTCAAGGGGCTTCACAAAATGCAGGGGCCTTTATCCAAAGGATGAGACCCACTTCTGCCAATTCCTTCTTGGAAGGATGACTAAGGATGACAGAAGAAAAATTGATGCCTTTGAGTTGTGGTGCTGAGAAGAGTCTTGAACATATCATGCACTGCCAAGAAAACAAATAGGTCTGTCTTAGGGTAAAACCAAGTTTCTCCTTGGAGGCTAGGATTTTGAAGATCTGTCTCACATACTTTGGGCACATGTCCGGGAGTGACTTGTCCTTGGAGAGGGACATCATGCTTGGAAGAGTGAAAGGACAGCACAGGAGAGGAAAACCCCAGATGAGATGGATTGACACAGTGACTGGAGCAATGAGGGTTGATGTGTCAGAATTAGTGAGACTGGCTCAGGACAGGGCAGGGTTCAGAGCTACAGTACATAGGGTAGCTGGCAACTGGACAACACCACTACCTCAATTTCTCTACTTTTTGATCTCTTGTGAGAGAAGAGGTTTATTGGCCACACCCAAGGGAAATGCCCCTTGGGCATTGATTGGGACCAATCAGAATTGTGATTGGATTAAGAGTGTTACATCCCACTTTAATCCGTTTACAGTTATTTGACTTAATCAGATCATGACAGAATCAATACATATTTCCATTTTGCATCATTAAATGCATGTTTTGGAGGAACATTTCATTGTATGACATATAGGTATCTTTTAGTCTTTACTCCCTTATCATTTCTGTGTGGCTACTGAAATACCTTTAATGAACATTTTGTGGATAGAGTGTGGTGTGCTGCCTGTATCACCAAAGCACCTTATAGTGTTTTGTTTACAAAGGGCAGTGACTGAGGCCTTTGTCACTTATACCACATAGCATCCTTTGGAACAGAATTATTCATGGTAGCAGCTAGTATTTTTTTGATCCTCTACAATATGCCAGCCAGTTGTGTTTTTATTTCATTCTCAAAACACTCCTATGAGCTAGAGAGTGCTGTTTGTCTCCATAATGGAACAGAGCTAAGAGTGGTAAAATAACTTGACCCAAATCACACCTCATCAAATGACAGTACTGATTCTCAAATCCAAATCTTTTTGGTTCCAAAACCAAAGTATAATGCAAAATTTAATAGTAGAACCAGCTATCTTCTTAGAAAATAAATCCACTAACAGGATGTTCATGTCTTACATTTTTGGCTCTGAGGCAAAATTTTTAAGGGCCCACTCTCCCATCTTGATATCCTCTACATATCTTGTCTTCTCTCACAAAAAGTTCACCATTACAATATCTGTACTTATCTGCAAAGACCTTAGGGCTCACTCACTGAACAGCTTAAATTGGTAATGGAGTAAGATAATAAACGTTCAGTATTACAGTCAGGGTGGGGACATAATGTGAGAGGGACATTTTTATCTCTCCTCAGACAATTTTTATCAGATTTTAGCCACATTATGCTGGCTTCGTGCTGTATTGTGTCAGAAGAGGAGAAGGCAAAAATTAGCCAAGTTCTTGAGCTTCCTCAATAGGAAGAGCTCCAAAAATTCAATACTATTCAGTAACTTCAGAGAAAGGATTCCTCAGATAGTATATTTTAGTTAAGATATCTCTATCAGTGGTGTAGGCTTTTTTTACAAGCATTGAATGATACAACATCTATGCCAAATCGTCAGCATTGTTTTCTGGTGTCTTAATATCTTTTTCCCTTATATCAATAAATTTTATACAGTGACATCTACATTTGACAGTTGAGTCAGCATATAATGTTCTTCACACTCTTCCTCCAGTTTAATAAAACTGTGTCTCTTAGGCCACGAAATCAACATTTTATACTTCTTTTTATATTCTTAGGATGATTATTATTACCTGTAAATTTAATGCAGTCTAAATAATAATACTTTATTAGCTTTTTTTTCTTTTTAAATCTGAAGCTTAATGCACACCTAAGTAAAATGTTAAGAGGTCTAATGTGTCCAGTTCCATGAGTTTTGGCAAATATGTATACCTGCATGACCCACACTCTGAAATAAAGAACATTTCTATCATACCAGAAACTCCCTTTGTGCCCTTTCCCAGTTATTCTTCTCTCCCATCCCATGAATGCTAACAACCACTGTTTTGGTGACCTTTTCCGTTCAGTGTTTCCTTTTCCAGAAGTTCATGTAGGTAAAATCATACAATATTATTCACTTTCACAGTGTAAACATTTTCTACTTTTTTCTATTTGCATGTCAGTTAAAATTATAATTTAATCTGGAATTGTATAAGAATTTCTCCTAACTGTGAATTGGCACAGTGACTATAGCAGTAGGATGATGAGGTTGGCTCAGGATGGGACAAGGTACAAAGCCATAGGATTGTTGTAAGTTGTAGACAACTTGGTGTCACATAACAACAACCACAAATAACATACTGTGGTGATTGCCCTCTAATTTTGTAAAAACATAAGCAGCAACTCATAACCATTTGTGAAAAGTCAAATATAGACATGATTATCCACAAGGATGGATTTAGCTAATGGCCATGGCAAATGAGTGATTCTCAGAGAGTTGGCTGAAGTGAAGAACATGTCTGGAAGCAAGTGAAAAATATTACTATATTAACAGTATGACAGAAAGATGCTTATAATATTCTGTAGAATATACTTTGGCTTGGTGGTATTGCTTCTGTGGGTATCTTGTCACAGTGCAGTTTCCTGTGTCTCGTGCATCCCAGTATAGAAAATTATCTGCATAATTGTTACGTTGAAGAGCTCTGTCACATAGCCTTACACATAGTCTTCCCTTATTAAATCGTAATTGAGTGAATAATTTAGTCATCTTTCCCGTAAGGACCAGTGATAGATCTTAAAGGAGAGATTTTTTTTTTTAATCTCATCCTTTATTTTTAAAGTTTTAAAAATGCTGTACTTTTCCCCCATGCCAGGCATTGTCTGAAGCCCTGAAGTTACAGCATTGTTTCTGTTTTCACATGGGTATATTTCAGTTATCCCAAGCTACCAAACCCAGTCTCTCCACCTTCCATTGAGTTTCCAAAGCTGTATATCTTTACAGGAGCAGACTGCCCACTTTTTTTCCCTGGAGCAGCTGATGGGTTTAAACCACCAGCCTCTCATTTATCAGCCCAGTAAATTGCATATTATGCTACCAGGGGCTCCTTTATGTTGTGGTGGTGATGTTGCTCATTGTCATCAAGTTAAAACCAGTTTATAACTGACCCTCCAGTGGGTTTTCGTAGGCTGTAAATCACATGGGAAGTGATAGCCCATCTTACTACCTCAGAGGAGCTGGTCCATTCATACTGCTTGCCTCTGAATCAGCAGAACAACTCCTTTTACTCCAGGCCACCGAGCTCCCAGTGTTCTAGTTGTTGTTAGGTGCTGTCAAGTCCACCACAACTCATAGCAACCCTGTGAACAGGAGACCTGCACCCTGCTCTGTCATAAGCCATCCTCATCATCTCCAGTATACTTGAGCCCATTGTTACAGACTGTCATGTGTCAGTCCATCTTGTCAGTATCTTCCTCTCTTCACTGACCCTCCACCTTACTAAGCAAGATGTCTTTTTCCAAAGACTAGCCCCTCTTAATGACATGCCCAAAGTATATGAAATGAAGTTTCACCATCCTTGCCTCTAACAAGCACCCTACTTGCACTTTATCCAGGACATATTTGTTCTTTTGACAATCATGGAATGTTCAGTACTCTTCTCCAGCCCCACAACTGAAAGGAGTAAGTTCTTCTGTCATACTTATTCATTGTCCAACTTTCATCTGCATAGCAAGTAATTAGAAAAAAACCATTAATTGGATCAGGTACAGCTTAGTCTTTAAATTGACATCATTGCTGCTTAGAAATTTAGAGAGGTCTTTCACAGCAGATTTCCCCAGTGCAATATATCTTTTCAGTTATTGACTGCTGGTACCAAGGGTGGTGATTGTGGGTCCAAGATGAAATCTGACAATTTCAGTCCTTTCTCCATCTATCATGATGTTGCTTGTTGGCTCAGTGGTGAGGATTTTTGTTTTCATGGTTAAGATACAATCCGTATTGAAGTCTGTAGTCTTTGGTCTTTAGTAGCAAGCACTTCATCTCTGGTTTATTTTCAGCCAGCACAGCTGTGTCATCTGCGTAAGGCAGGTTGTCTTCCATTGATTCTGAGCCACATTCTTCATTAAGCCCAACTTCTTGAATGATTTGTTCAGTATACAGAATGAATAAGTATGGAAAAAGGATACAGCCTTTGCACACATCTTTCTTGATTTTAAACCATGCAGTTTTCTCTTGCTCTGTTCAGACAAGTGTTTCTTGATCTAGGTATAGATTTCACATGAGCACAATTAAGTATTCTAGGATTTTCATTCTTTTCAACATTAGCCACAATTTGTTATCATCCACACAGTCAAATGCCTTTGCATACTTGAAACACACAAATAGTCTGCTAGTATCCTCAGCTTTCAGCCAAAATCCACCTGACATCATCAGTGATATCCCTGGTGCTATGGCCTGTTTTAATCCCAGCTTCAGTTTCTCTTAAGGAGATATGTAAATTATTGAAACAATGTGATTCAGGGGTGGAGATTGGAAAGATGGAGGTTCAAAGAGAGCACTGTTTTGAATTGATTTATCAGAAAAGGCCTGTCTTGATGAGGTAGCATTTCAGCAGGGACTGGAGAAATGCAGAGACTAGGTAAGAAGGAACCAAGCATGTACAATTGGGTGAAAGAGTTCCTGATAA